GTGCTGCCCCCTTTTCCAGTTTATTTGCACTTCTTTCTATTCTTTCCCTCAAGTGCCGCCAAGTTTCCTCTTAAGTTTCATCTTCGCGGCACCAGGACTGGATGCTACCTTTACCGGTCTTTTGGGCTCATCCTCTACTACCCCGTCTTCAGCTAAATTGGCTTTCTTCCTCGGGGCCTGGCTGTCCTCTGTGACTGCAGCCCCGAGGGAGCCTGACTCGGATCGCTGGAGCAGCGAGACCGCTCGCAAGACTGGCTTGTCTGGCGGCCGCCGCTCCCGCCCGTGTACTGTATATTTTATAAAACATTTCATGTGCTACAGCAAATTGTTTGCCAGTCTTCGCGAATACCCGAAAATGGTCAGTTTCACGTGGGATACAAAGCAACAGCTTGGCCTCAAAGAGAAGAAAACCAACAGTGTTTGAGTGCCCGCATTTTGCCGATTGACTTACGCGTCGTTTCAGTTAAGCCTCACAGCGATCTTCCTTGCTTTGTCAATCGAACCGATCATTATCTCCCTATTACAGAACTGAGAAGTATCGAAACTGAGAATAGCTTCCATAGGAAGCCGCACAAACTCCTCGAAGTGAAAGGGCTTGGCTGCATATTTCAAGATCCAGCGGCTCAAGAAAGTTTCTTTTTTTCTCTCTCCCTTAGCACAGCGTATAACCAGCTGTGCACCTTTTAAGAGAGACGAAGAGAAAAGCTTCACGCAGATCCTGAGAATTAGTCCTGATACTCTTCTGCGGATCAAATATTCTTGAGAACTACGAAGGGCAGACTGAAAAGCAACATCACCTTCAAATGATGTGTGAGTCAGCGGCCCCGTGTCCTGGGCTCCGTGGCTTAGTTGGTCAAAGCGCCTGTCTAGTAAACAGGAGATCCTGGGTTCGAATCCCAGCGGGGCCTCTCAAGGCGACCTTTTGCAATTCACTGGACACAAATGCAGACAACTGGAGCTAGACCTCCCATCAAGCCCCACAAGTGCAAGGGACAGCTTCGGCCAAACAATCTTACGAAAAAACAAGCCAACAAAAATCTCTCCTGATTGCCTGTGACGGGAACACCAAAATATCTCCGCTGGGAACTCAAAACGTTTTTCTTCTAATATGATGACATGAGTATTGGAATTGCCTAGCAGAATCAGGTTTGCTTCTTGGTCTTCGTTTCCTTTACCGTTTTATCAAGTCTCACTCACCACTTAGCTTTTAGGTCATCTCTGTGACTCCCTTAAGGTTTTGTTGTTGTTGTTTTCTGGTTTTTTTGTTTGTTTTTGTTTTTGTGGGGTTTTTTTTGTTTGTTTGGTTTTTTTGCCTCCTGGAACCTTCACCACAGCTGGCACATTGTCAATATTTGGGTTTTTTGAATGGCTCCTTGAATCACCACTCTTCGCCCCGCCATCCCACCTCGTCCAATTTTGCACCAAGTAGCTTTTTCGCCCACTGCATAGTGCTATGAGCCATGCTTCTCAGAACTTCGTGGGCATGGGAATCACCTGGTGATCCACTAAAATGCAGATTTTATTTCACTACGACTGTGACCAGGATTCTGCATTTCTACAAGCTCTCAGGTGATGTCTATACTGCTGTTACATGAACCGGGCTTTGAGTCATGTGAGCGAATCAAAGACGAGTTGAGTACTTCCCATGCTGAGAACTCAAGACGTTTTTCTTCTAATACTATGAGATGAGCTTTGGAATCAAAGAACAGGGTGAGTATTTCAGTATGGGTAACAGGAAAATGCTTTTCTCTCTACAAATTAATTCCCAAACAAGACCTGGAAAATTCACAGATACGCCTTTAAACTAAAGTGTCTTATCTCAACTGAAATCCTGTTTCTCTACTGGAGAAACTCTAACTGGATACTCTACTGGATACTCTAAGATTATGCAGGCTCATTACCCCTAAATCCCATTAAATCTCACCTGGTCCATGACTTCCCATCACCAATGACTGCTCCTCATTTGAACCTTCCTGGCCTCGCCTTACGGTTCTTTTGAGCAGCTCTTAGACTCTGACAGAAGTTTTCCCGGGTGCTCTCTCCTAATCAATCACCTTGTGTGTTGAAGCTGGGTTCTATCCACTTCAGCATTCCTTGCATTGCACCTTCCATCAACATTTGTGTATTGGCAGATGGGATGGAAAGGGTGAAAGATTGAAATGTAAAGAGTGGGGATGCTGGAAAGTTGAGCATTCAGAAAAGAATGTCATGAGTGTTCCCACCAAGTTTTAAACCAGGACTCTTTGGTGTGTGAGGCAAAGGTGGAAACCTCAACATGACGGGATTCACATGGAAAGGACTTCTCTTGCAAACTCATAAGAGTCTTGGTCTTCATCAGCGCTTCTTACCTGGAATTGTACCCTGTTCTCTCTCATTGTAATGCTGCTTCATGTTGACCCTGCCTCTACAATTCCACGTTAACGTTGGTCCCAAGGTACTAGACCAGCCCAGAAATGTCCAACCCACAATCTGTATTGCGCTTGTGAAGCCTCACCTCACACGCATGTAGAGAAACCTCACAGGTCTGGGCACTTATTAGAACTGACGTTAACATTATAATAACACCACAGAAACACTACCCTCTCCGATGCTGGGGGGGGTTCCTTCCTCTGTCATCCCTGCACCTCCATAATTTTCTCAGATAGCTGCACGCTGGGAACTAATGAATCATCCTAAAATCTGCCAGTCTTGCCCAGGCCCCTCACCCACTTCAAACTCATATGTCTTATCTCCACTTGTAGGTCACACAGGTCCTGATAACTCAGCACACTTCCAAACGGACTCCTTAACTTGCCTATGGAAGGGATTATTTTCCTGTTTTCCATCTCACTGAGGAATCTGGGCTCCAGATTGACTTGACTCAAAGTACCTCCTCACCCACCAAATCAAAAGTCAACTTCTGGTTTTGCCTCTGCTACCTGCAGAATTCCCTTCCTGGCTCTCTCGCCTGGGAGCTCTAATTTGAGCTCTTATTAGAGCGTCTTCCTCATTCCTTTGTCTGCATTCCTGGCCCCCTAAATTCCTTATTTGCATATCAACCAAAGAGATCTTTAGCTCCAAATGGAAAACGTCATCTCCCTTCTTCAAACTTTCCCAACTCTCCCCCTCATATTGATGCGGGGTCGGTGAGCTGAGGAGTCGAAAGAAAGATTTCTTAGACTCGCAAGACCTGGCAGTAGTGCTCTTTTATTTAGAGAGTAGTGTAGAATAGCATGGGGACAGGACCCATGGGCAGTCAGAGCTTCTGCTGCCGCCGCTTCTGCTGCCCCCGCTGGCATGGGGACAGGGCCCATGGGCAGGCAGAGCAGCTGCTGCTGCCCCCGCTGGCATGGGGACAGGACCCATGGGCAGGCAGAGCTGGTGCGTGGGGACAGGACCCACGGGCGGTCAGAGCTCCTGCTGCTGCCCCGAGTTGAGGGTTAGGGCTAATTTCATAAGGCATGGGTACGTCACTTATTTTTACTGGAGAAAAGAAAAGATGATGTAAAAAGTCATTAAATGATTTCAGTGCAGATGGGGTCTGGTTATTGTGCGGTCATATAACTTTAGATATGAATCTGGCCATATAGATCGGCATGTAGGTGAGGATGCCCTGGGCTTCTCTCCCTGGGGCGGTCCTAATTCATACCATAAAAAAAGTCCACTGGGTCGTATAGTTTGGCCTGTAGGCCAGGTCACCTTGGGCTTCTCTAGCTGGGGCAGCCTTAATCCACATCAATATCCCATTAAAGTGTCAAGTGGAAGACCCTCCCCTTTCTTCCTAGGCTGACCCTTATTTTCCCATTTTCTCTCATTTCTCCCTACTCCCGGCCTCAAATCCGGAACTCTTTGGAGTTTGCCCCAAACACTAGCTTCTCGCTCCATGCTGCTCGGAATGCCAGGTTCCCCTCTCCTCTCCACCTCTCCTCAGCCAATATCTTTCTTTCCACCTGTTAAGTCTCACATCAGTTATCGCTTCTTCTGATAAGCCTTTCCTAATGATTAAGAATCGAGAAATTGCCCCTTTTCTATGCTTCTGTGAAAACACCCTGAGCATTTGTCTCCGTGTTTTCACTTGGCAAGTTTAAAACTAATGACCCTATTTTGCGCAATTTTATCATAACGATCACTGCGTGTGCCCTTTGCTCCCCCAGGCCTTTCTAATTTTTCAGGACATCTGGTACCTGCCGGAGCCTGGGTCAGGATGGGGCACATTATGCGCCACTCATTAATTTCTTTAAAATAAACGTCTAATCAAATTGTTGACGAGTAATAAACAATATCATTGATGCTGCCGACTTGACGTCAGGAAAAAAAAAAAAATCGAAAGTCTTGCTGATTGGGAAATGCTGCGTGTCTTCTCTCTTTCCTGCCACGTTAGGACCAATCCAAGTTTTAGTTGCCAACAGTGGAGTTTTCAAGTTTGCTCTTCGTCGGAGACGCAGACGCCTTGCTGTCCTGTCACGAAGTTCTCTCAAAGGATTTGAGGGACGAGCACCATGTGCCTGTCGAGCATCTTCTAGAGCCCCATGGGGAAGCCTGGGAAGGGAAAAACGGGCAGCGACGAACGCGGGTTTAAGCGAGGAGGACAGTAAAGAACAGGCAAGCACACCGTCGGTTACACAGGTTGACGCGGGTCACTGAGCACAGGCTGTTCCAGAGCAGCCTGAGGACCGCTGCAGAACCGGGTGACTGACGACTCCTAAACCCATTCCGCACAAGGTCCAGTCACATGACTTCCCAAAGCCTACCCCTCTTGTCACCCCCTCCCGAGAGTAGACGGGGCACAGCCCACCTCACCCCTGTCAGCAGTCCCGTGCAGATGAGCGTTGCCCTCGCGGAAGGTCGGATGGTCTCCGGCGCTCGGTGTCTTGGGTCCCGGCTCCTCAAGCTCAGGAAGAGAGATGGAAAGCAAAGCCACGGGAGAACGTCGGGTCATTCCGTGAAAGCGAATCCCCTAGGAGCCCGAGGTTACGGTGGCCGGCTTTCGGGCAGGAATTTGGCGTCTGGTTTGAAGTGACGTTTGGTTGTGAGTCATGAAGTTCCTAGAACGTTGTTTTAACAAACGAACAGTGGGAGGGAAAGAAATGCAGCGTGACTGAAAATACACTAGAAGAAAAATCATTCCAAATTGTTGGATTTGGGGGCGCCCGGGAAAGGAGAATGCGGTTCCATCCTGCCCGGCGAAAGGCTGCCGCCCCCGGGCGTTTCCGTAGTGTAGTGGTTATCACGTTCGCCTAACACGCGAAAGGTCCCCGGTTCGAAACCGGGCGGAAACAGCACGTCCGCCGACCTTTTGTCACCCTGCTCAGGAAATAGAAAGAGCCGCATTTCTCCAAATGCCTGAGCCTTCCGACACCCTCTCCGGTTCCCGCGCCGAAAACCAAGACTTGACCTTATCCGGACAGGAGGAGCCAGCGCTCCTCCTGCATCTTCACTCCCGCCGGGTCAGCCGCGCGACGTTGGCGGAGCGCCTTCCGCCAAGAACTTGGAAGAAGAAGGACTCCTCCTCAAAATCCACCGAATTATTTTTAAGAATTAGATCCTTTCCTCGCACTTTCTGTACTCTAAGAGTTCTTTACGTCATCTGGACCCGAGACCTTTTGCGATACGTGCGTGTATCACGCCGATCTTCCAGTCTGCGGCTAGTGTTTCCTCCGCTCTTAAGGGAGTCTTTTGACGAAAAAGGTGTTTGGTTTACCTGAGGCCCAGAGAATCAACCTTTCTTTCATCCTTGGTGCTTATGTCCTGTTTAGGAAACACTTGTCTGTCTCAGAGGCCTGAAGTCTTTTTCTAAGTTTTCTTCAACGGGCTTTGTTCTATGGGACATTGATTTGAACAGGCGCTTCGCGAAAAGACAACCAGATGGCCAGGAAGCCCGTGAGGGAATGCCCATACCTCAGTTACAAAGAAACAAATAAACACGCGCAGGGAATCAAACAAAATGGCAAAACAAACACACATGAAAAACAAAGGGTGATGCCACCAGATGCCATCCACCTCCGCCAAACATTTTCTTTCTTTCTTTTTTTTTCCCTAGCCAGAACTATTTCCAAAAACCCTCCGTACATGATGTGCGTGTGGAGGAGGTGCAGTGGAATGGAGTAGAGGGTGGAGGAAACCAGTAAGAAGAGTTTCCTGCCCGCAGGAACTAGGCGGAGATGCCCGCCTGGCAGAGGCGGTTGCTTAACCTCACTCTCCGTTCCTTTTCTTCCTGTTCCGGGATCCGCGTCCGCACCCTCTCCAACACCTCCGGGGACTCGGTCCGTGGTCGGTCCTAACCTGCATCTCTCCGCTCAGGTGTTTCCACAGCGCGCTCAGGGCCGAGCCGCACCTTTCCGGGAGACCCAGGCGGCGCGCGGTGATCTGGAGTCCGCCCGGCATCTCCGGACCGAGGCTTCCCCGGACCGAGGCTTCCCCGGGTGAGGGGGGCCACTCGCTGCCAGAAGTTGTCAGGTGGGCGCCGAGAGCCGCCGCTTCGGTGGGCTCCACGGACAGCGCCATTTAGGCACAGAACGGTCCCGGCTGGGATGGAATGGGGTTAGGGCGAGTTTACGTACTTGGGTGTGTGCTTAGAAATAAGTCTGTGGGACAGACGGACACGGAATCGGGCACTGGGCCCCTCGCAGGCAGGGTCCCTAGACCGGCGGCTGCTCCTCTCCGACATTTCCAGGGACTCAGCCTCCAGCTCAGCTCCAGACACTCCGCCGGGGTAGCAACCGGGGAGCCCGACTGTTCCCGGAGCAGGACCGCGCCCAGCGCCCGGCGCGCTCTGCATCTGCTGGGCTGTGGGTGGGATTTCTCGGAAGTGAAAAAGCAGAGGAGGGAACGGCTTAATGGTACCTTTGAGTTGGTGGTCTGTGTGTGTTTTAGTCACATATCTAAAAAACAAGCAAAGGAAACGAAATACGGAATACAGGATTTCCGCTTGACTGAGTACAAGGCTACCAGGTTCAGGGAAGTTACACTCCAAGATCTTAAGTGCTAGTGCACCTGCATTTGCCCGCGGCAGAGAATGGGAATTCCAGCTGGGGGAGCTGAATTTGCTGGGTTCTCAAGCGAGACCATCGCTTCTGTCCCTAGAGGACCAAAGGGAGTCACAAGATCCGAAATCCCGTGAGTTTCTCCAAATCAGTTGTGGGAAACTTAGCTGATTTTTACTTAGATTAGGTCAGACCGGATCTCAAATTTTGTGTACTTTGACAGGACAAAGGGATAAAGGCAGAAACTGGCATCTCTAAAAGAATTGACTACCACCTACACATGTCATAGCTATTTCGTTATGTAACCCTTCAGATAACGAAATCCTGAAATCCTCTCCATGGCCGCGCCTCTGTCTTCAGCCCCGTTTAATAGCTCACTGCCCCTTTCTCTTCAACCACACTGCTCAGTTTTCAATCAGTCCCTCTTACTGTGCGCATATTATTTGTTCTACTTGAAATACTCTTCTACACCTGGTTAATATCTCCTCAACCTTTAAACCTGAGCTCAATCATTGCTCCTTCAGAAAAAACTTCCCCAAGACTTTCCAAGTAAATCTTCGTATTTGTCTTAACTCTGTATCCCCCGGTTCCTTTTATTGCGAAGTTTGTGTTAATTTGCGTGATAATTTGATTGGCGTCTGTCTCTCTCACTCGAATAGTATTTCCAAAGGGGTAGGTGCCGTTCATCAACGAAACGCCGTCCGCCGCAGTATTGCACACAATAAACGTCAACAGAACAAATACGTGAATGCTGACCACGGTCCTGCAAGGTGAATGCCATCCCAGTTTTGAGAGGAAGAACCGAGGTTCCCAGGGAGGAGTTAATTGTCTAAGTGGCAGAGCTGGGACTCATGACCTGCAGACGCTGTGGAAGTGAGTAATGCGGAAGAGAAAGAGGAATTGAATTCTTCCATCTAAGGGGATGGATATTAACGATGGCATTCATGGCCAGCTTCATGAAAGAAAAATGCACAGATTGGAGTCTTTGAATGTGGCTTCAGAATCATCATAGTGAGACCTACACTATTCAACTCAGAGAGCTAAATGCTCTGTGGGAAGGTGTTCCATAGACAATAGAACCTTTCCACTTGCTAGCAGTCCTCTCCCCCCTCCAACCTCTGTCAACCGGCTCCCTCTCACGACATAGTCCCAACGGTGTAAAGAATTCTAGACAGGAAGTGCAGACATCTGGATGTCAAGACAGAAGTTAGAAACAATGATGAAAGAAGTGCCTCAGCAGAGAAGGCTGCTTCCTAGAAATGAGGACTCACACGCACAAAGAGGTCAGCTAATTTGCTAAGGCCATTCAGGCAAAAGATGGCAAAATCAGGATAGGAAACCTCTGCCTTCTGGCTTCCAACTTTGCGCTGTTAAGAACATTACTCTACCACCTCTCTCTTCCTCGACATCCAAGATCCTTCTCTTCAATCAGCTTCACATTTCGAGGTGTCTATTTTGCCTACTTTGAAAACTAAAATAAATAAATAAGCAGCCAAATTGTCTAAAGACGTCTGTTTTAAATGTATTTGGTTAATAAATCAGTTCCTAGATTCCAGCATTCTATGTCAAATGTGATTTCTAGAATGTGAGTGCCTTTGTTGAATTCTTGCCTCTTTTTGCCTAGTTCACTGTGTGTTTTTGTATGCTTTTATCTGCTGCGTGATTTATCACACAATTCTGCCATGACTCTCCTTCTTGGTGAGTTATTACCCTTTTAACAGTCAGAGGAAAAGGTGTGATTCTTACAGCCCAATGCATTTCCAAAGCAAATAAATGTATTTTCTTTCATGGTATTTAACTGAAAATAATACAGAGTATTCATTACTAGTCCCTGCACGCATCATCGGGGCCCAAGATAAGTGCACAAGAAAATATCATGAAAGTGGAAGCGTGGCGGGTAAACAGACTGCGAAAATTAGTGAAGAGCTCACAAGTACACGGATAAAAAGACACACATACACAGACAGAAACTCGCTTTAAAGGAATGACATTCCTTCTATCATATACGTCACGCTCTAAAGATTAAATTTATTTCTTAAGTGTAGAAATTTAAAGCAAAAGCGTACTGTGTAAACTAATTAGAAAGTTCAGGACTCTATTAGAGTTAGCAGTTTTGTGCTGCTCATCTCTATCCTCACACCTGAACCAACGACTTCTAAAGCCCCCTTTTTAAAAGTTATGTTTGAGAAACCCTGGCCGCCACGGGCCAGTGGCGCAATGGATAACGCGTCTGACTACGGATCAGAAGATTCTAGGTTCGACTCCTGGCTGGCTCGTTCTCTTTATGCGAATCTTGTTTAAATCGAAACTGAAATCAATTCTTAAAAGCCTTTTCGGATTCCCATTACTTTGAAACGCCGCAGCCACCCCGCAACGCAACCTTGGCTGTTGCTTAATTAACTCCGAGGGGGTCTTTAGAGTCAGCAAAGAACATCATAAGTGTTCCTTCGATCACCTTTTCGATGGATACATGCTGGTTTATTATATTGTTCTGTTTCTTTTTCACATGTTTGAAATTCTCACAATAAAAACTTTAAAATTGTCATACTTTGATTGTTTTAAAAATGTGTGAAATGTATAAAAATATAATCCCATTCTATTGCTGAGCCTTACCCCATTTTAGACACTCTTTCAAACTCCGGATTCAGCGATGGCATGAAGATCAAAGGAGTCAACCAAAGGTGATTTCAGGGATGGTCGTGTGTATTCGTTTAACTGTTAGCGCTCCTTGGAGCGCACATTCGCGAACCTCAAGAAGCTTCCGCAGGGTGAAAAGCGTAAATTTAAGGAGCTCTGCTGTCCTGCAGGACGGCTTCTCACATCCTTTGACGACGCGGCGCGTCTGCAGCGCCCTTCCCGGAGGTCACGGCGCTGGGAGGCGAGGGCCGGGCTGAACCCGGTGCGGGGGCGACGGGACGCAAGCGCGGGGCGCGCAGAGCCGAGCGGCGCCGATCTCTGGTCCCCACATCCGCAGGCTTTCTTGATTTAACGTTACCTGGAGCGATGTCTCTTTTCTTTCTAATGAGAGCGGCGGGGCCTTTGCCCAACGAGAAAAATGGTGAGGACGACGCTCGTAGACCCACATTGTTTGCTTTTTTACTTTTTTCTTTTCTTTTTTCCTTTAAAGCCTCTCCGACGTAAAGCTGTCTGTAGGTCTCTGTATGTGATCATCTCCCCATCGTTAGCGGTTATGAGATTTAAAAACAAAGGCTGAGGTTGTGAGTGTTCCTTTGCTGACTCTAAAGACCCCCTCGGAGTTAATTAAGCAACAGCCAAGGTTGCGTTGCGGGGTGGCTGCGGCGTTTCAAAGTAATGGGAATCCGAAAAGGCTTTTAAGAATTGATTTCAGTTTCGATTTAAACAAGATTCGCATAAAGAGAACGAGCCAGCCAGGAGTCGAACCTAGAATCTTCTGATCCGTAGTCAGACGCGTTATCCATTGCGCCACTGGCCCGTGGCGGCCAGGGTTTCTCAAACATAACTTTTAAAAAGGGGGCTTTAGAAGTCGTTGGTTCAGGTGTGAGGATAGAGATGAGCAGCACAAAACTGCTAACTCTAATAGAGTCCTGAACTTTCTAATTAGTTTACACAGTACGCTTTTGCTTTAAATTTCTACACTTAAGAAATAAATTTAATCTTTAGAGCGTGACGTATATGATAGAAGGAATGTCATTCCTTTAAAGCGAGTTTCTGTCTGTGTATGTGTGTCTTTTTATCCGTGTACTTGTGAGCTCTTCACTAATTTTCGCAGTCTGTTTACCCGCCACGCTTCCACTTTCATGATATTTTCTTGTGCACTTATCTTGGGCCCCGATGATGCGTGCAGGGACTAGTAATGAATACTCTGTATTATTTTCAGTTAAATACCATGAAAGAAAATACATTTATTTGCTTTGGAAATGCATTGGGCTGTAAGAATCACACCTTTTCCTCTGACTGTTAAAAGGGTAATAACTCACCAAGAAGGAGAGTCATGGCAGAATTGTGTGATAAATCACGCAGCAGATAAAAGCATACAAAAACACACAGTGAACTAGGCAAAAAGAGGCAAGAATTCAACAAAGGCACTCACATTCTAGAAATCACATTTGACATAGAATGCTGGAATCTAGGAACTGATTTATTAACCAAATACATTTAAAACAGACGTCTTTAGACAATTTGGCTGCTTATTTATTTATTTTAGTTTTCAAAGTAGGCAAAATAGACACCTCGAAATGTGAAGCTGATTGAAGAGAAGGATCTTGGATGTCGAGGAAGAGAGAGGTGGTAGAGTAATGTTCTTAACAGCGCAAAGTTGGAAGCCAGAAGGCAGAGGTTTCCTATCCTGATTTTGCCATCTTTTGCCTGAATGGCCTTAGCAAATTAGCTGACCTCTTTGTGCGTGTGAGTCCTCATTTCTAGGAAGCAGCCTTCTCTGCTGAGGCACTTCTTTCATCATTGTTTCTAACTTCTGTCTTGACATCCAGATGTCTGCACTTCCTGTCTAGAATTCTTTACACCGTTGGGACTATGTCGTGAGAGGGAGCCGGTTGACAGAGGTTGGAGGGGGGAGAGGACTGCTAGCAAGTGGAAAGGTTCTATTGTCTATGGAACACCTTCCCACAGAGCATTTAGCTCTCTGAGTTGAATAGTGTAGGTCTCACTATGATGATTCTGAAGCCACATTCAAAGACTCCAATCTGTGCATTTTTCTTTCATGAAGCTGGCCATGAATGCCATCGTTAATATCCATCCCCTTAGATGGAAGAATTCAATTCCTCTTTCTCTTCCGCATTACTCACTTCCACAGCGTCTGCAGGTCATGAGTCCCAGCTCTGCCACTTAGACAATTAACTCCTCCCTGGGAACCTCGGTTCTTCCTCTCAAAACTGGGATGGCATTCACCTTGCAGGACCGTGGTCAGCATTCACGTATTTGTTCTGTTGACGTTTATTGTGTGCAATACTGCGGCGGACGGCGTTTCGTTGATGAACGGCACCTACCCCTTTGGAAATACTATTCGAGTGAGAGAGACAGACGCCAATCAAATTATCACGCAAATTAACACAAACTTCGCAATAAAAGGAACCGGGGGATACAGAGTTAAGACAAATACGAAGATTTACTTGGAAAGTCTTGGGGAAGTTTTTTCTGAAGGAGCAATGATTGAGCTCAGGTTTAAAGGTTGAGGAGATATTAACCAGGTGTAGAAGAGTATTTCAAGTAGAACAAATAATATGCGCACAGTAAGAGGGACTGATTGAAAACTGAGCAGTGTGGTTGAAGAGAAAGGGGCAGTGAGCTATTAAACGGGGCTGAAGACAGAGGCGCGGCCATGGAGAGGATTTCAGGATTTCGTTATCTGAAGGGTTACATAACGAAATAGCTATGACATGTGTAGGTGGTAGTCAATTCTTTTAGAGATGCCAGTTTCTGCCTTTATCCCTTTGTCCTGTCAAAGTACACAAAATTTGAGATCCGGTCTGACCTAATCTAAGTAAAAATCAGCTAAGTTTCCCACAACTGATTTGGAGAAACTCACGGGATTTCGGATCTTGTGACTCCCTTTGGTCCTCTAGGGACAGAAGCGATGGTCTCGCTTGAGAACCCAGCAAATTCAGCTCCCCCAGCTGGAATTCCCATTCTCTGCCGCCGGGCAAAATGCAGGTGCACTAGCACTTAGATCTTGGAAGTGTAACTTCCCTGAACCTGGTAGCCTTGTACTCAGTCAAGCGGAAATCCTGTATTCCGTATTTCGTTTTCTTTGCTTGTTTTTTAGATATGTGACTAAAACACACACAGACCACCAACTCAAGGTACCATTAAGCCGTTCCCTCCTCTGCTTTTTCACTTCCGAGAAATCCCACCCACAGCCCAGCAGATGCAGAGCGCGCCGGGCGCTGGGCGCGGTCCTGCTCCGGGAACAGTCGGGCTCCCCGGTTGCTACCCCGGCGGAGTGTCTGGAGCTGAGCTGGAGGCTGAGTCCCTGGAAATGTCGGAGAGGAGCAGCCGCCGGTCTAGGGACCCTGCCTGCGAGGGGCCCAGTGCCCGATTCCGTGTCCGTCTGTCCCACAGACTTATTTCTAAGCACACACCCAAGTACGTAAACTCGCCCTAACCCCATTCCATCCCAGCCGGGACCGTTCTGTGCCTAAATGGCGCTGTCCGTGGAGCCCACCGAAGCGGCGGCTCTCGGCGCCCACCTGACAACTTCTGGCAGCGAGTGGCCCCCCTCACCCGGGGAAGCCTCGGTCCGGGGAAGCCTCGGTCCGGAGATGCCGGGCGGACTCCAGATCACCGCGCGCCGCCTGGGTCTCCCGGAAAGGTGCGGCTCGGCCCTGAGCGCGCTGTGGAAACACCTGAGCGGAGAGATGCAGGTTAGGACCGACCACGGACCGAGTCCCCGGAGGTGTTGGAGAGGGTGCGGACGCGGATCCCGGAACAGGAAGAAAAGGAACGGAGAGTGAGGTTAAGCAACCGCCTCTGCCAGGCGGGCATCTCCGCCTAGTTCCTGCGGGCAGGAAACTCTTCTTACTGGTTTCCTCCACCCTCTACTCCATTCCACTGCACCTCCTCCACACGCACATCATGTACGGAGGGTTTTTGGAAATAGTTCTGGCTAGGGAAAAAAAAAGAAAGAAAGAAAATGTTTGGCGGAGGTGGATGGCATCTGGTGGCATCACCCTTTGTTTTTCATGTGTGTTTGTTTTGCCATTTTGTTTGATTCCCTGCGCGTGTTTATTTGTTTCTTTGTAACTGAGGTATGGGCATCCCTCACGGGCTTCCTGGCCATCTGGTTGTCTTTCGCGAAGCGCCTGTTCAAATCAATGTCCCATAGAACAAAGCCCGTTGAAGAAAACTTAGAAAAAGACTTCAGGCCTCTGAGACAGACAAGTGTTTCCTAAACAGGACATAAGCACCAAGGATGAAAGAAAGGTTGATCCTCTGGGCCTCAGGTAAACCAAACACCTTTTTCGTCAAAAGACTCCCTTAAGAGCGAGGAAACACTAGCCGCAGACTGGAAGATCGGCGTGATACACGCACGTATCGCAAAGGTCTCGGGTCCAGATGACGTAAAGAACTCTTAGAGTACAGAAAGTGCGAGGAAAGGATCTAATTCTTAAAAATAATTCGGTGGATTTTGAGGAGGAGTCCTTCTTCTTCCAAGTTCTTGGCGGAAGGCGCTCCGCCAACGTCGCGCGGCTGACCCGGCGGGAGTGAAGATGCAGGAGGAGCGCTGGCTCCTCCTGTCCGGATAAGGTCAAGTCTTGGTTTTCGGCGCGGGAACCGGAGAGGGTGTCGGAAGGCTCAGGCATTTGGAGAAATGCGGCTCTTTCTATTTCCTGAGCAGGGTGACAAAAGGTCGGCGGACGTGCTGTTTCCGCCCGGTTTCGAACCGGGGACCTTTCGCGTGTTAGGCGAACGTGATAACCACTACACTACGGAAACGCCCGGGGGCGGCAGCCTTTCGCCGGGCAGGATGGAACCGCATTCTCCTTTCCCGGGCGCCCCCAAATCCAACAATTTGGAATGATTTTTCTTCTAGTGTATTTTCAGTCACGCTGCATTTCTTTCCCTCCCACTGTTCGTTTGTTAAAACAACGTTCTAGGAACTTCATGACTCACAACCAAACGTCACTTCAAACCAGACGCCAAATTCCTGCCCGAAAGCCGGCCACCGTAACCTCGGGCTCCTAGGGGATTCGCTTTCACGGAATGACCCGACGTTCTCCCGTGGCTTTGCTTTCCATCTCTCTTCCTGAGCTTGAGGAGCCGGGACCCAAGACACCGAGCGCCGGAGACCATCCGAACTTCCGCGAGGGCAACGCTCATCTGCACGGGACTGCTGACAGGGGTGAGGTGGGCTGTGCCCCGTCTACTCTCGGGAGGGGGTGACAAGAGGGGTAGGCTTTGGGAAGTCATGTGACTGGACCTTGTGCGGAATGGGTTTAGGAGTCGTCAGTCACCCGGTTCTGCAGCGGTCCTCAGGCTGCTCTGGAACGCCTGTGCTCAGTGACCCGCGTCAACCTGTGTAACCGACGGTGTGCTTGCCTGTTCTTTACTGTCCTCCTCGCTTAAACCCGCGTTCGTCGCTGCCCGTTTTTCCCTTCCCAGGCTTCCCCATGGGGCTCTAGAAGATGCTCGACAGGCACATGGTGCTCGTCCCTCAAATCCTTTGAGAGAACTTCGTGACAGGACAGCAAGGCGTCTGCGTCTCCGACGAAGAGCAAACTTGAAAACTCCACTGTTGGCAACTAAAACTTGGATTGGTCCTAACGTGGCAGGAAAGAGAGAAGACACGCAGCATTTCCCAATCAGCAAGACTTTCGATTTTTTTTTTTTTCCTGACGTCAAGTCGGCAGCATCAATGATATTGTTTATTACTCGTCAACAATTTGATTAGACGTTTATTTTAAAGAAATTAATGAGTGGCGCATAATGTGCCCCATCCTGACCCAGGCTCCGGCAGGTACCAGATGTCCTGAAAAATTAGAAAGGCCTGGGGGAGCAAAGGGCACACGCAGTGATCGTTATGATAAAATTGCGCAAAATAGGGTCATTAGTTTTAAACTTGCCAAGTGAAAACACGGAGACAAATGCTCAGGGTGTTTTCACAGAAGCATAGAAAAGGGGCAATTTCTCGATTCTTAATCATTAGGAAAGGCTTATCAGAAGAAGCGATAACTGATGTGAGACTTAACAGGTGGAAAGAAAGATATTGGCTGAGGAGAGGTGGAGAGGAGAGGGGAACCTGGCATTCCGAGCAGCATGGAGCGAGAAGCTAGTGTTTGGGGCAAACTCCAAAGAGTTCCGGATTTGAGGCCGGGAGTAGGGAGAAATGAGAGAAAATGGGAAAATAAGGGTCAGCCTAGGAAGAAAGGGGAGGGTCTTCCACTTGACACTTTAATGGGATATTGATGTGGATTAAGGCTGCCCCAGCTAGAGAAGCCCAAGGTGACCTGGCCTACAGGCCAAACTATACGACCCAGTGGACTTTTTTTATGGTATGAATTAGGACCGCCCCAGGGAGAGAAGCCCAGGGCATCCTCACCTACATGCCGATCTATATGGCCAGATTCATATCTAAAGTTATATGACCGCACAATAACCAGACCCCATCTGCACTGAAATCATTTAATGACTTTTTACATCATCTTTTCTTTTCTCCAGTAAAAATAAGTGACGTACCCATGCCTTATGAAATTAGCCCTAACCCTCAACTCGGGGCAGCAGCAGGAGCTCTGACCGCCCGTGGGTCCTGTCCCCACGCACCAGCTCTGCCTGCCCATGGGTCCTGTCCCCATGCCAGCGGGGGCAGCAGCAGCTGCTCTGCCTGCCCATGGGCCCTGTCCCCATGCCAGCGGGGGCAGCAGAAGCGGCGGCAGCAGAAGCTCTGACTGCCCATGGGTCCTGTCCCCATGCTATTCTACACTACTCTCTAAATAAAAGAGCACTACTGCCAGGTCTTGCGAGTCTAAGAAATCTTTCTTTCGACTCCTCAGCTCACCGACCCCGCATCAATATGAGGGGGAGAGTTGGGAAAGTTTGAAGAAGGGAGATGACGTTTTCCATTTGGAGCTAAAGATCTCTTTGGTTGATATGCAAATAAGGAATTTAGGGGGCCAGGAATGCAGACAAAGGAATGAGGAAGACGCTCTAATAAGAGCTCAAATTAGAGCTCCCAGGCGAGAGAGCCAGGAAGGGAATTCTGCAGGTAGCAGAGGCAAAACCAGAAGTTGACTTTTGATTTGGTGGGTGAGGAGGTACTTTGAGTCAAGTCAATCTGGAGCCCAGATTCCTCAGTGAGATGGAAAACAGGAAAATAATCCCTTCCATAGGCAAGTTAAGGAGTCCGTTTGGAAGTGTGCTGAGTTATCAGGACCTGTGTGACCTACAAGTGGAGATAAGACATATGAGTTTGAAGTGGGTGAGGGGCCTGGGCAAGACTGGCAGATTTTAGGATGATTCATTAGTTCCCAGCGTGCAGCTATCTGAGAAAATTATGGAGGTGCAGGGATGACAGAGGAAGGAACCCCCCCAGCATCGGAGAGGGTAGTGTTTCTGTGGTGTTATTATAATGTTAACGTCAGTTCTAATAAGTGCCCAGACCTGTGAGGTTTCTCTACATGCGTGTGAGGTGAGGCTTCACAAGCGCAATACAGATTGTGGGTTGGACATTTCTGGGCTGGTCTAGTACCTTGGGACCAACGTTAACGTGGAATTGTAGAGGCAGGGTCAACATGAAGCAGCATTACAATGAGAGAGAACAGGGTACAATTCCAGGTAAGAAGCGCTGATGAAGACCAAGACTCTTATGAGTTTGCAAGAGAAGTCCTTTCCATGTGAATCCCGTCATGTTGAGGTTTCCACCTTTGCCTCACACACCAAAGAGTCCTGGTTTAAAACTTGGTGGGAACACTCATGACATTCTTTTCTGAATGCTCAACTTTCCAGCATCCCCACTCTTTACATTTCAATCTTTCACCCTTTCCATCCCATCTGCCAATACACAAATGTTGATGGAAGGTGCAATGCAAGGAATGCTGAAGTGGATAGAACCCAGCTTCAACACACAAGGTGATTGATTAGGAGAGAGCACCCGGGAAAACTTCTGTCAGAGTCTAAGAGCTGCTCAAAAGAACCGTAAGGCGAGGCCAGGAAGGTTCAAATGAGGAGCAGTCATTGGTGATGGGAAGTCATGGACCAGGTGAGATTTAATGGGATTTAGGGGTAATGAGCCTGCATTAATCTTAGAGTATTCCAGTAGAGTATTCCAGTTAGAGTTTCTCCAGTAGAGAAACAGGATTTCAGTTTGAGATAAGACACTTTAGTTAAAGGCGTATCTGTGAATTTCCAGGTCTTGTTTGGGAATTAATTTGTAGAGAGAAAGCATTTTCCTGTTACCATACTGAAATACTCACCTGTTCTTTGATTCCAAAGCTCATCTCATAGTATTAGAAGAAAAACGTCTTGAGTTCTCAGCATGGGAAGTACTCAACTCGTCTTTGATTCGCTCACATGACTCAAAGCCCGGTTCATGTAACAGCAGTATAGACATCACCTGAGAGCTTGTAGAAATGCAGAATCCTGGTCACAGTCGTAGTGAAATAAAATCTGCATTTTAGTGGATCACCAGGTGATTCCCATGCCCACGAAGTTCTGAGAAGCATGGCTCATAGCACTATGCAGTGGGCGAAAAAGCTACTTGGTGCAAAATTGGACGAGGTGGGATGGCGGGGCGAAGAGTGGTGATTCAAGGAGCCATTCAAAAAACCCAAATATTGACAATGTGCCAGCTGTGGTGAAGGTTCCAGGAGGCAAAAAAACCAAACAAACAAAAAAAACCCCACAAAAACAAAAACAAACAAAAAAACCAGAAAACAACAACAACAAAACCTTAAGGGAGTCACAGAGATGACCTAAAAGCTAAGTGGTGAGTGAGACTTGATAAAACGGTAAAGGAAACGAAGACCAAGAAGCAAACCTGATTCTGCTAGGCAATTCCAATACTCATGTCATCATATTAGAAGAAAAACGTTTTGAGTTCCCAGCGGAGATATTTTGGTGTTCCCGTCACAGGCAATCAGGAGAGATTTTTGTTGGCTTGTTTTTTCGTAAGATTGTTTGGCCGAAGCTGTCCCTTGCACTTGTGGGGCTTGATGGGAGGTCTAGCTCCAGTTGTCTGCATTTGTGTCCAGTGAATTGCAAAAGGTCGCCTTGAGAGGCCCCGCTGGGATTCGAACCCAGGATCTCCTGTTTACTAGACAGGCGCTTTGACCAACTAAGCCACGGAGCCCAGGACACGGGGCCGCTGACTCACACATCATTTGAAGGTGATGTTGCTTTTCAGTCTGCCCTTCGTAGTTCTCAAGAATATTTGATCCGCAGAAGAGTATCAGGACTAATTCTCAGGATCTGCGTGAAGCTTTTCTCTTCGTCTCTCTTAAAAGGTGCACAGCTGGTTATACGCTGTGCTAAGGGAGAGAGAAAAAAAGAAACTTTCTTGAGCCGCTGGATCTTGAAATATGCAGCCAAGCCCTTTCACTTCGAGGAGTTTGTGCGGCTTCCTATGGAAGCTATTTCTCAGTTTCGATACTTCTCAGTTTCTGTAATAGGGAGATAATGATCGGTTCGATTGACAAAGCAAGGAAGATCGCTGTGAGGCTTAACTGAAACGACGCGTAAGTCAATCGGCAAAATGCGGGCACTCAAACACTGTTGGTTTTCTTCTCTTTGAGGCCAAGCTGTTGCTTTGTATCCCACGTGAAACTGACCATTTTCGGGTATTCGCGAAGACTGGCAAACAATTTGCTGTAGCACATGAAATGTTTTATAAAATATACAGTACACGGGCGGGAGCGGCGGCCGCCAGACAAGCCAGTCTTGCGAGCGGTCTCGCTGCTCCAGCGATCCGAGTCAGGCTCCCTCGGGGCTGCAGTCACAGAGGACAGCCAGGCCCCGAGGAAGAAAGCCAATTTAGCTGAAGACGGGGTAGTAGAGGATGAGCCCAAAAGACCGGTAAAGGTAGCATCCAGTCCTGGTGCCGCGAAGATGAAACTTAAGAGGAAACTTGGCGGCACTTGAGGGAAAGAATAGAAAGAAGTGCAAATAAACTGGAAAAGGGGGCAGCACAAGGAAAAGAGAACAAAGTGGCTGAGCACGAAACTAAGGGTCCAGACTTAAACAGGAGGAGAGTCGAGAGGCCGAGGAAGCAGGGGAGGGAGAAGACAGATCTGATTGTCCCCGACCTGTATCTCAGTCTCAGCGCTGTTCCCTGCTACCTCCCCTCTTGTCGGATCCGTGGGAATAGCGTAATCAACTATTTGTAAACGCAGACATCAGGAGCCTATAAATGCACTTGTAACGATCAGGAAATTCCACCACCTGTCTCTCTTTCTCTCTCTCTGTTTTCATATTTAGATAAAAGTAACTCGTGTTTACACAGGTGAAATCAAAATCCTGTTGTATCTAAAAGTTGATTGCGAAACCCAGGGTCACACAGATTATGTCCTATGCTTTCTTCTAGAAGTATTGTAGATCTCTGTTTTATATTTAGGTCTATGTGGTAGTGATATTGAACCTGAAGTGAGTTTGCTCACCTGTTGCACAGCAAGCCAATCTCTGACACCGGGTGCAGTGGAAGAAAGGAAGAATTTTATTATTGCACACCCCTAAGCAAGGAGAGAGGGCAGCTAACACTGAAATCCCAAACTCCCCAAAAAGCTAAAAGCAGGGGGTTTTATTTGGGGTTTTAGGTAGGGGAGCCTGTGGCCTTGCTGGTCAGAGCTTTCCCACCAGCCTGTATCTCCTTGTGGGGTGGAGACAATGGTTCCAGGTGCTTATCCCTGGCGGTGTCTGTCTCCCTGGCGGATAGCGGATTCTGGAGCCAGAAAGCCAGGGAGTAAGCAGGGAATGAGTGCTTTGGTTTTAACCTCATATATGTTGGGTTTAATGTGGGGAAACTGATATCAGGGCCGGTATCAGTAGGGTGAATAACATCCCCTCCCAAGGTATCCGTGTCCTAATCCCGAGAACCTGTGGATGTTATTTTACGTGGTAGTAAAAGACTTTGAGATGTGATTAAGTTAAGGATCTTGAGATAGAGAGATTGTCCTGATTATTCCGGGGGACCCTATATGCAACCACATGTCTCCTTATAAGAGGAAGAAGGGGGGACTTAAGACACACAGATAGAAGAGAAGACAGGGTGACCATGGAAGCAGAGATTAGAGTGATATGGTACAATTCTGGTGGCCACCAGAAGCTGGAATGGATTCTCCTCGAGCCCTTGGACCTCACCAACACCTGGGGTTCAGCCCAGTGATAATGATTTTGGATTTCTGGGCCCCGGAACTGTGAAGAAGCAGCTTCTGCTGTTTTAAACCACCAAATCTGTGGTAATATCTTAGGGGAGCCATAGGAAACAAATACAGTCTATGATACATTCTGCCTTAACTTTTGTATGAGGCATGATGTATGTGTCACGGGCCTTTTTTGCATCTAGACTTCCAAATTCCCAGCATCATTCCATGAAAAGTCTGTCCTTCTCCACTGAATGGTTTTCGAAAATCAGTGGACGATATTTGTGTGGCCCTATCCCTGACTTCTCTATTCTAGTCCACTGACGTATGTGTCTATCGTTTTGCTAATACCACACTGTCTTAATTATTGTAGCTTTAAGTCTTGAAACGGGATAATTTGAGTCCTCTGGCGTTGTTCTTCTTTTTCAGAATTGTTTTGGCTACTTTGTTTTCTTTGCCTATCGATATAAATTTTAGAATCAGCTTGTCGCTGTCTATTTAACAGCGTGCTGAGATTTTGATTGGAACTGTTAGGAATCCAGAGATCAGTTCGTGGAGAATTGATACCTTAACAATTTTGGGTCTTCCAACCTGTAAACAAGATATGTGTCTCATTTTTCAGTTATTTGCATACGAATTCTACAGATATTTTGTTAGACATATCTAAATACTTCCTTTTTTGAAAAAATTCAAATTTTAATCATTCATTGCTGCTATATAGAAATACGACTGAATTTTGTATGTTGACCTTGTATCTCTCTTATTAGGCCCAGGAGTTTTACTGTAGATTGTATGGGGTTTTCCTCATAGAAGATCAGGTCTGTGAATAAAGACAGTTTCATTTCTTCTTTTAAAATCTGCACAGTTGTTGTATTGTAGCAGCTAGGATTTTCAGTACTTTCCTTGAATCGGAAAAGTGAGAAAAGGGACATTGTTGCCTCGATTCCAAGTTAAGGGGGAAAGCGTTCAGTCTCTAACCATTATGTATGATGGTAGGTGTACATTATTTTTTGTAGATACTCTGTGTTTGATTTTATTTTATTTACTTTTCATAAATTTTTATTATGAACGGATGTTGAGTTTACCTGAGTGCTTTTTCTGCCTCTACTCGTAAGATCGTATGCTTTCTGTCTGCTTGGTCTATTAATTTGGTGAGGAACATTGCTTAATTTTTTGAATGTTAAAGCAGACTGGGATAAACCCCATGTAATAACAATGTCTTATGCTTTTTACATATTGCTGAATTTGATTTGCCAAAATGTGTTTAAAGATTTGTGTGCTTATGTTTATGAGTGCTACTGGTCTGTGGTTTTCTTTTTTTTAATGTCTCTGTCTCCTTTTGGTATGCATATGTCAATATGTATCCCAGAAGTCAACAAAAACCAGTTTCTCTCTGAGACCATTGGAGTATTAACTGGATATAATAATGGTTAACTGCTGAGTGGAAAATCCCCACAGAATGTATATCCATCACTCAATGGCCTCCTGGCTGGGCAGGTGTGCTCATGCAATGTGTGACTGATATTTTCAAGGAAGTGGGCACTCCACAAGTGAATAATACGTGAGGATATATCCTTGAAGTCAGGTGAATATTGAAGTCAACTCCTGCATCTCAGAGAGGATATTCTCAAAGTTTGTCTCCTTAAGAATCAATTTGCTTTTACTGCATAAGAAATCACCCCAAATGTCGGTAGCATAAAACATAATTATTTATTCTCACAGGACTGCTGGTTGGCTCAGGGTCAATTGATGTAGGCTGGGCTCACCTGGGTAAATTTATTGATCTCAGCTGGGCTTGCTCAAACATCTGGGGGTCCGTTGCTATAGGTTCAGAGGGGAGAGAGAGTGGACTCTGTTCCGTGTGAGTCTCAGACTCCTGTGGAACTAGCAGGCTGGCTCAGGCATGTTTGACTGCCTATAGGAGCACAAGAAAAATTAGCCCAATAGCACAAATATGTTGTTTATGTCCAGGCCAATAACTTTCTATTAGCCAGGTCAGGCATATGAACAACCCAGGACTCTTCTGAGGGGTCTGCAAATTCTAAACCAATTTCATAATAATGCTCGATATTTATGATGGGGTTGGTGGTGATCTTAACGAATGTGGTTTTTCATCTTTTAAATTGAAATGTGGAAGTTCTGGCTTCAGGACAAGGGGTGAAGGAGGAGTAATATAAATTGCTGCTAAATTCTGCCACAGTTTCCTGGAAATATGAACACACTGATTTAGTGTCCGGCATGCATTAGAAACCACAATGTCACGTCAAGAAAGGGTTTTGACCTTTGTATTTACTACTGTATCTCCAATGCCTTGTAAAGTATCTGGAACATAGTAAGCTCTCAATAAATATGGGTCAAAAAACTGAATAAATGTAGACTAGACTGAGAGTGTTCCAGGAGGCTAGAAATGGAGAGTGCCATCGAACATCTGAAGTCATTCTGATCCTGTATTTGCGGGTGACACTACCCATTAAGACTTTCAACGTTGCGTGTGTAATATGTAGATAGTTCATGTGTCTGCATACCTCCTCTCTGAACCAGGTTCACGGGAGTAAATTCTTAGCCATAATACCTATCTGTGTCCATTTTTAATTTTCTTTTCTGATTTTGGTTCTAGTAAGAGCACTTAAGAGACCATACTATCTTTGGGTTCCATGGTGTAGTGGTTAGCACGTCTGCCTTACACGCAGAAGATCCTGGGTTCAATTCCCAGTGGAACTACGAGATTCTTTATGTTTCCATTAAGAACAAATGTGGTGAGCTCCTTTCTCTTGCCCTCCAGATGTGCCAAAGTTCTTTCGGACGTTTTGGACTGGACCAAATGTCCTACAGGTCTAAAATAAAAAGATTCAGAAAGAAGAAAATAAAGGAATGGGCTAAGGTACACCGGGTAGAAACAAGGAGAAGGCAAGGTTTGTGATCTCGACATTAGATAAATTTGACTTCAGGCCAAAAAGATTAAACACGGCCAAAAAGATCAACTTTTAATGTTAAAGGCCATGATTTCAATAAAGCTAGAACAGTTACAAAGTTATGTGCTAAAAGATGCACCAACTACATTTGTAAAATAAAAATTGCAAAAGATACAAGGAATAGATTTAAAGAGCACTAAGAATACTAGGCTTTAAAATGACACCTTCCGCACATGATAGGTCAAATGGACACAAAACGAGTAAGGATATAGAAAACCAAATCCGCATAAACCTGAAGGTAGAACTTGTACCGATATATATCAGAATTAATTAATAACCTGGTATAGAGAATATACCTTCTTCTCAAGGGCACAGGGAACACTGACAAAAATTAGCGACGTAGCATATCACAAAAAGAGCATTAGTAAGTTCCATTAAGCAGAACTATTACAATCAGCACCCTAGGATCCTAACATGGGCTTGCTAGTTTATAGAACTCAGCCTGGACCTTGTGGAGTGTTCTGCCCCATGCAATCTCTGGTGTGAAATGTACAGTGTTGGAAATTACTGCT